TCGTACTGGCTTTGCTTTCACCTTAAAACATCTCCCTATCAGTGATACTGAAAATTTGGCATTAACTTTTAAAAGCTCCCAGCTATTTAGCCTGAAAAATAAATAGAAGCATTCCTATCTGATAGGCAACTGAATAAAAAAATAAATATCTAACTTTAATGAACAAAATGAAAAAACCTGTGATCTGTATGGCTGGGGCACCGTTCCCCCACTATTTGTTTAGTAAAACTCTTAAGAATTGGTATTTTCACAATCTTTCACCTTCAAAGCACTTACAATACAAGTTCTCCCAGCCTGTGTAAAAAGGCTCATCATTTTCACGCCTCAAGATAGGAAAGCTAGTCTAATCAGCTTGTAATGTTTAGACAGAGGAATTAGTCCCAGAACAGAATTCAGGGGGTTGTGATTTCCACTCTGATATTTAGCTCGTGCCTCTTGAGAAAGCATGTCGAGTCAGCAGGAGAGGCAACTATGCTGGAATTCCTGAAAAAGCCCCCAGCCACTGCATGGTATTTAGGCATCTAGTTAAAAATCTAGCCCATAGCAAAGCAGAAATACTTCTTAAATCCAGTGCTTTCTCTTGGCTATAAATAAAAATAAGTAGTTCAGTTCTCAGTAAAATAATCTGAACAAAGATTTCATACATTCTAATTAACACACTTTAAAATTACATCACTGTAATCTGCATGAACTTCTCAAATGCAACTATGCAAACTAGTCACTCACTGGAGATGGAAACATGCTTCACTAAGGAGTCTAAAAGAAAATGAAACAGAAGATGAAAAATACAAATATGACAGTTCTTCAAGTTGATGTTTCCTGGTTGCTAATTTAAAACCAGAATTAAAATAAGTATATCAATTCATTCTATTACTTAGTAGCAGAATGTAATTGCATGTTCCGAGAAGCATGAACATTTAAGTATTCTAAGACTTTCAAGTCCGTGACAAAGAATATCAGACATTTCTGTGCAAGTTTGAAAAAACCAAACAACCAAACCAAACCAAATATTGAGCACAAAAACTGGATTCTCTCCACTTCATGGTAATTTCCCTGCGTTCCCTCCCTTCCTCCTTCCCTCCCCTCCCCTCCAGAGAGGCTAATTGTAAGCAGATTTACAAATCTGAACATTGCTTCAGTGCACTGAAGCAATCTGGAACAGTAATTCTGTGCCTTTATAATTTTGCTCTATTAGAGCTCACTGTAGATGAGACCTCTCTGCATCAGACCCTAGTATGTGGGCTGGGTGTGCATCTGAGGAGGACTCCAAAGATCATCAAGCACAGTGAGAGTGCTTGCTGCCTGCAATTTCGCAAGAGTGGATGGAAGAGTTGCTGGACTAGGCTGAGCAGTTGTGGCAGAAAGAAGTTCCATTCTCTTCTCCCTTGCACCCTGCAATAAATCCAGTTTCTTTAAGGGTAGGCTTCACCTTAGAAAGCATATGTTCCAGCATCCTGCTTGAAAGAGGCCATTATTGTTTGAGAGCTGTGCCCAGCTTCCTGCATCTTCCCTTAATTGCAGGAGGCAGCGCTGTACGCGTGACCCTTCTCCAGCTCCCGAGGACCGAGGTCCGTGCATCCAGGCAACAGTGTGCTGCTTGCTGACACCTGGGGTCAGGCCAAGGATGGTGCTTCAACATCAGCTTAGAGATCACGTAATAGAAGGGCAAAGGTTAGTTTCCTAAGGCTCTCTATCACATAATAAGCCACTGTCAGCCTTAGTAGCCTTCCCACTTCAGCAGCAGCAGAAAAAAAATCCTGTGTGATCACCGTTTGTGTCTACATATTAACTAAAAAATTAACAAGGCTGGAAGGGTAAGAAGGATAGAAATAGAGTGGGGATCAGAGCTTCAGCTGCACCTACACACTGTGAGCACTCACATGGCGCATGTGGGTGCATGCACTGATGTGAGACAGTCATACAACGTATCCAAAACCCAACGCAACGCTGGTGGAGAGGCTGGCTCCAGGCGTTTAGGGACAGGTCAGGCTGCAGGGACACAAGCTCAGGAGTTTCTGAAGGAGAGGGATACGATAAAAGACAGCAGGGCTTTGTTTCAAGCTGTGTTTTGCCCCACTGCAGGATGATAAGACAGTCATCGCTAAGTTATTTCCCCTCACAGTCTTTGTCTTGTCTATCTGGAGCACAAACCTTCTGCAACAGTGACTGCACAGTGAAAGACAGTCCCTACACTACTGGGATCCAGTGTCAGTGGGTCTTGCAGATACCATCACAAGGCAAATAACTCCACTCCTGCCCTGAAGGCAGTCTTGTTATTGACCTCTCTTGATCAGATCTGGAGAGTAACATGGGGTCAAAGATAACTTTTTTCCCCTGCAGGAACAAAACAACCTATAAAGAAATGCAAATGCAGTGCATTCCTTCATAGTCTCACTTCAATCCCTAAAACAAGATAAAAGCATACAAGGAGTGCTCAGTACCTCTTCTCTTCCAAAACACTGCACCTCCATTCTTAAAAGCTTACCTATCACACTGGCTAGGCAGCCAGTTCTCATCTTATCTCTGATGATTGTGTGTAACGCTCATTAAGCTTAAAAAGTGTCACATATGCAAGTACTTTTGCATGCCCTTTAAAGACAGAACAAATAAACACAGAACTGAAGCGTTAAGCAGATTATTCTGTATACTGAAACTCTGCATTTACTCCTCCTTTGCTCCTGGGAACAGACCTTGAGGTGCCTATGTGCAGCTGCCCACCACGATTATTTCCCTATTTGGGACTGCTTTGAGCATTGCAGGCTTGTTTCCCTATGAGATTTCCCTGATACTTTTTTCTGTCCTTTGTTCATGGCTTTCATGTTACAAGGAAACAGAAAACAGAAAACCAAAATGTGAATAGGATACTAAGGTAAAAGAAAAACCTCTCTTTGCTAAGAAAAAGCCACTGACAAATGTGCTTTTGTTTACACAGACTTCTAAAGAAATGGAGTAGAAACCTGGAGACATGTGAAAGAAGGTGAGATAAGAAAACAGTTTTTCAAATCTCTTCAGAGATTAAAAGCTCCTGTTTCTGAAGGGATAACATGGAATAACTTCAGACTTAGTTCTTAAACCCAGAAGACAAGACATACTGCATTCAAACTGATGACATTTTCAATCATTTCTCTATTCTTTTGCAACTGCCTTCTACAGAAATGCAGCCAGAGGACATCCCTCACTGCTCCCCAGTATCCTCTGTTCTGCCTCCAACCTGCTATCCTCCTTCCAGTGCCTGTAGTGGTTTGAGATAAAGGCAACTGCCAAAGGGCAATTTCACTCAGTTCACCCAAGGAAAAAGGAAGACCAAAACCTTAACTTCTGCTGGCAAAGCTCCAGCTACCCTATGGGAGAAAACAACCCATCATCCAAAAGGCAGTAAGTCTTTATACTTTGCCCAAAGTAACTTTGGTTAATATGTTGGAAACACTGCTGATATTTCCCAAACCTACTTTGGTGAGATGTTACAGCATTTAATAAGATTATTATTTTCTGTCATGAATAAAATCCTTAAGAATTCAAGACCAACAAGCCCTCAAATGAAAAGAAGTGATTTTTGTCTCCTCCAAACTGCACTATACTGTTTTTATCAAGGAAAAAAAGCTTCATGTGCACAGATATGTATGTGGTCAAATACCTATTAATAAAATCCACCTCATTCAATCTCCTATCTTTATGCATCTTTGTATTTAGTCTCCCTTCTACTTTACTGCACTCCAGTAAATCTATACATAAGTATAGATAAGTGCATTTTATGCACATAAGAAAACTAGAAAACCCAACAAGGACAGTGAGATCATGAAAACCTTAAGACCACGTCCCTGAGTTGCTTGAAACTTGATGCTGGCCCTTTTCAATAACAGCAATTTCATATTTCCATGAAAAGGAGCTGGAAACGCTGCAAAGGAGTCCTAAAGATGCATCCGGTTCTTTCTCTGCTCCTCAACACTTCCTCTGAGAGGAGAGGAAGGAGAGGGTGGAAGTATTTATTATTGGAATTGACTGACTAAAATCAGGAACATCCCTGATAGAGGTAAAAACTCTCAAACAATCAAACAAATCACCAAAGAATTTTTTGCTACTGCAATCACTCCAATCAAAACTGAGAAAGTTTCAGAATTATTACCCCATCAACAGGGATTTGAGAAGGCATTTTTAGCTACATTTCATGCTTGACAGGGATATTGATAAACTGGAAAAAGAAAAATCACAGACTTCTACCTAAATATTTTAGAACATTAACTTAAAGGGCAAACCAGAGATTGCTACAAAAGAAGGGAGAGAAAAATCCTTTGGCAGCACCTTTACATAGTTAGGTCTACTGGCTTTGCAGGTTTAGAAGAGGATTGCCAGCTTGTTTCACCATTTGGAGAGACTCCAACTCAAAAGAACAGGAGACTCAAGGCTGTTACAGCATCAGTTTTGTAAAAGGGCACACACTGGTACTACTGCTAAAAGACAAACCTCTGCCACAAGCACCTGCAGCACTGGCACAGGGGAGAAGATGTAAGGCTGAAGAAGGCTGCTCCCTGTTAACAGGAAGCCCTCGTGAAATGACAGCCTGGGCTGACCCCAGTCCCAGCAAGACCACGAGCTGGTCTGCAGGGCAGAGGGAGGATGGAAACCGAGCTTAAGAAGTCAGTGCTGTTTCACCTACACCCTTGCCCCAGGAAGCCACTTCTAGAACACACGTGAGACAATCCAGTCTAAAGCAAGTATTTCTGCATCAGTTCCTTTAGAAAACCTGGCAAAACTATCCACTTGGGTGTTCTTAACACCCACACAGACAGTATGTTGCAGTAAAAGTTCTTAACTGACGGCATTAGACTGCAAAGTCCATTAAGTACAGGTCTGAAGTTGTGTACAAAATTCATACTCCTTTCTTTGCATACAAATGCAGAATCTGGCTTCAAGCACATAACTGCAAAATATTTTTCTCCCTTGGGACTGCCCTGTATACATAGGGTATGACAATCGATTAATTGCTTCTGAAGACAACTTACATTCTTTGGACATTCCCACTTCAAAGCACTTCTGTAGTCTGCAGTACTGGCAGCGATTTCTGGTAACTTTATTGATAACACAGTTTTTATCTCTGTGACATGTGTAAACCATGTTCTTCTGGATGCTCCTGCGGAAAAAGCCCTGAAATCAAGAAAAAAAGAAATCAAACTTTTAAGCTTCCCATAACCCTTAGAGACAGGCACTAACATTGCTTAAAAATAACAAAATAAATTCAAAGTTATGGCTCAAGTATGGCATTTTTAACGACCCAGTCTTCTTATAATTTAGTACTGTTTCTTGCAACATAAGACTCTTCTCTTAAATAAAAACTAATTAAATAATGCAACCAAAAGCCAAAATAAACAAAACTAGAACTAGTAACAGCACTCAGGAAATTAAGTCCTAGATTTTACAAAAAAGCTCAAATAAAAATAGTTTGGGCTTATGGATGTAGTAATGAGTTGGGTAAACAACAGCCTTCCTAACAGATCCACTTGGAAGTCAAACACTCATCCAACAACCAACAGCCTCTTTTGGCCTGAAGGTCCCTTCTATTTTTGTTGCTGCAGAGACTCCCTAGTTTGAATGCTGCACGTACAAAGAGAAACCCATGTCTCTCAACTGCTGGAACTCTGACAGCAATTAATGAGGCTTCTGCAGGTGGAAGAGTTCCAGCATCAGGTTATTGAGTTGTGAACTTGTAAAAGGTGCCAATTACAGCATTTTTTTTCTTATTCAGATACAGCTGTGAAAATAATCAAGTAATTACAGTGATCTTATGTCAGTGATAGGCGGGAGAGTATGGAACTCTGTCTGGGGACAGGTGATGAGTCAACAAAGAGCTTGTGGGTCAGGGTCAAAGGGAGAACAGCAATGGGGGACATTACAGTGGGGATCTGTTACAGACCTCCTGACCAGGAGGACTCTGTGTATAGACAGATAGGAGCAGCCTCACGTTCGCAGGGGGATTTCAACCCCCCTTGTCCTCATGGGGGATTTCAACCATCC